GAGAATATGGCCTCAAATATTTGAAGGTAGCAAAGCTTGCATTTATCCCTACTATCTTTCCTAACAATGAAAATCAGATTAGGTATCTTTCCCCACCCCACAGCAGCTATTTACAATATTTGTTTTATCATAAGAAAGGAAAAGCAGATTGTCACCAGTTTACTGTACAGCCCTCCTGCATCCTGAGAACCCTTAAGGCAGTATTCATGTGCCTTATATATTATACATGAAACTCTGTTTACCTTGGAGAGAGTAGCTTTGTCATCAGTGATGAGAATGGTTCAACATGCTGTTTTCCCCTTTGTGTCTTTAGTTTGGTAGCATACTGATATAGCGTTATCCATTTCAGTTGGAAAAACACTGATCAAGTATTTAGAAAATCTGAATAAGTCCAAGGCTAAGACTGTATTTTTTTTTTTTTTAATGTCGTCTTTCATTTGTCTTTGAAACTTGAATATGCCTGGACTTGACAAAGAAACAGACTCTGGACTGTATCTGTTTAAGATTGTCAAAGATAACGCTTGACAGAGAGCTTATCTGCCCACTGGTGGCAAAATGCAATAAATTGTTCAAGGCCTGCCAAGCCATTAGGATACCTTGATAGTGAATGACAGACACAGTGCTACTGACTTGCTCTGAAGGGGATGCTTTTAAAAGCTATTTGAAGCTAATATCCACTATCAGAAACTTGGTTTGAGTTTATTTATCTGAATTAATTTGCTTTGACAGAGAGAGGGAAGAGAAAGCAGCATCCAAAGACACAGCATGAAGGAAAAGAAAGAAAAGTGTTCTTTTTGTTTGCTTGTTAAATATTCTTATGACTAAGTTAATTTAAGACACAGAATTCAAATAAGCAATGAAATCTTCCCTCTTTCCACCTCTCGCAGCGAAGCGGGCTCTAGACATTCATCTGTTTGTTCAGCCAATATTTACTAAGCATTTCCTCTGTGCTGGGCACTTGGCCACATAAGGTTTAAGCATTCTGCAAAAAAAGAAAAATATGGTTGCAGATGGTTATTTAGGTTGAGGTTTATTGTCACTGAAATGACAATGGTCATTCTTTTCCTATTTGTTTTCTAATGTCATGCAGTTTCTATTGTGGGATTCCAAACTCGTGAGAATGGCTAGGTGAACTTGCACTGGGCCTCGAAAGATGAAGAAAGACCTGGAGCTTGAAGGTCATCTGCCAATTTATCTGAGTTGCAGATGTGTCTCTTTCTGCCGTTCCTACAGGCTGTCTTTTCTCCTTTTAAAGTTCAGGCAATGCTTTGAATAGTGGGGAGAAGGAGCATATGGCCTCAATACATAGCTAGAAAAGGCTTGTGGTTCACCCTCACTTTTTCCGCTGTAATTGGATTTAGAAAGCAGGTGGCCGGCACTTAATCACAGAAGGAAAGTCTTTTAGAGCCATGGCAGAATTCCCTTTACACAAAACTCCTGAAACTCAAGATGTAGATGACAATAAGACCTTGAAGAAAAATTATCTTCTGGAAAGGCAATTGGGGCTATATTAAAGCTTATTCTTTGTTCCCTTTTCCCTCAATCTGATTTATTCATAAAATTCTTCTCTCAGCCCATATGACTGCAAAACATAAAATGTGCACCACCTGCTCAGTCATGTGGTTGTCTTACCTCCTGGATGGCAGAATTGGGGAAATATTTGTATTTCCATTTTATGTCATATAGCTATGAAAATAGAATCATGAGGGTAGAGGAGATTTCAAAGATTTTTTTGCTTAGCTCCTGGTTGTTTTTGGAGGAGAAGCTTAAGTTACTTGTCCAGGATCACATATGGCAAGTTTTTAAAACAAGAAGGCTAAAATTCAGAAATCATTGTTCTGATGTCAGTCTATGTTCATCTAAACTTCATGATGGTCTGGTTTTTTTCAGTTTTTTTTAAATATTATTTAGCTGTCAATGGATCTTTATTTTATTTATTTATATGCCATGCTGAGAATTGAATCCAGTGTCTCACACATGCTAGGCAAGTGCTCTACCACTGAGCCACAACCCCAGCCCCCTTTTCAGGTTTTTATACAGAATCCCAGGATCATGTTGAACAAACTTTTAGGCCACACCTGTGATGTTTTGGGATGTTTAGCAAGATTTTATTGAATGAGCAAAGTATTTGTTCAGAAACAAAAAGATGTCTCAATAGAGCTAAAATTAACTAGAGAGATTTTTTTTTTTTTGGTAATGGGATTGAACTATGGGCACTTTACCACTTATTTGCATCCCTAGGCCTTTGTATTTTTTATTTTGAGACAGGACCCACTAAGTTGCTGAGGCTTTTGCTAAATCACCCAGGCTGGTCTTGAACTTGCCATCTTCCTATTCAGCCTCCCAAGTAGCTGGGATTACAGGTGTGCGTCACTGCGCCGGATTGAAATGGACTGTACAGTTCCATAGTTCATCTTGTCTGTACAGACATTCAAAGGTGTAGTTTCCTTTGCTGTGAACACACATGCTTCACAGCTCTCTCAAATGTTTTCCTTTTAAGGAAGAAAAGTAAAGGCAGTGCGGCAAACACTACAGAGATCTGTTACCTGACTATGAACTGAGATGCCTTCTGGCTCATCTAAAATATACTGACTTGCCTTGGCACATGCTATTCCTTCTTTCTCAATTATTTTTTCCCATATTTTCTCCTTTTAAAATGATACTAGCACCGGGCATCGGGGTGCATGTCTGTAATCGCAGCAGTTTGGGAGGCCGAGGCACGGGGATTGAAGTTTGAGGCCAACCTCATTTGACTACATGATTAGAGAAATCCTAAGCAACTTAGCGAGACCCTATTTCAAAAAAAAAAAAAAAAAAATACAAAGAGCTGGGAATGTGATTCAGTGGTTAAAAAAAAAAAAATCCTCTGGGTTCAATCCCCCATCCCAAAAAAAAAAAAAAAAAAAAAACTCCTAGCTACCTGTATATAAAGTAAAATTGTTTCAAACCCCTATTCTATCTCTGGAGAAACAGCATCCTTCTCACCACCTGTGGATTCTGTTTCTCCTAGTTACCTCTGGCTTCAATTTTCTTTTAATGTTGACTTCATGATCCTTGATAAGCTTTTCCTTTTATTTCATGTGACACCATGACAACTCATGACCATTCTTTTCCCATATTTCTCCCAAACACTGGATTCAAGATTTCTGTGTGGCAAACTATCCCCAAATTTAGTGGAATAAGCAACAACTCTTTATCCTTTCATACCATTTCTGTGCACCAAGAATTTGAGAGTAGCATAGCTGGGTGGTTCTGGCTAAAGATCTCTCAAGAAAGCTTGTTGGTGCTAGAAGACCCGGGGCTCCCAGATGGCTATTCAGGTGGTTGCGGAAGCTCAGCTCTGAATTCATGGATTCCTTTTTTCTCATATATATATAAAAAATTCAGCCTTCTTTTGGTCTTTGCTGTCTAGATCATGCCCTGAGCACTTGACCTTTTTTCCGTCTTAAAAGGACCTTTCAGACTCAACGGACCTTTCAGACTCAACGGGATAACGTGAGAAAGCTTTGAAATCCTAAAGGGGATAAGGCCCATGAAAATGTGAATGTCTTTCACAAGTGCACATCATGAGCTTAACTTAGAGAGTTTAATGATTAGACATGAAAGAAAGCAAAGTGTAGCTTTTGTAAAGACAAGGTTTTTACTTCAGAATTTCAATTCTTAGGTTTACTTTTCTAGAAAACCTGTAGTATCTTTGAGTTTTTTTTTTCTTTTTTCTTTTTTTGTCATGCTGGGGGATCAACATTTGAGAATTTTCCAATGATGGGAAGAGAAGGGGCCCTACTCAGCAAAAATAGATGACAAGAATGAGAACCCTTATGTTTTGGGGGGAAATTAGCAGTTTGAAGATAGTTTTAGTTGTAGCAAGAATATGAATAGTTTATTTGAAAGAATACAGTAAATCTTGCAGTAATGGTTATTCAGTAAGATGGCTAATTTTAAAATGTATTTTTTTTCTAAAAATACATTTATTTACATTGCTTATTTATTGTATTTTTTCTACCTTACAAATTTTGAAATATGAAGTTTTTGCTATAATTTTTATAGTTGTTTCAGAGAGCAAGAAGTGATTTAGCATTTTAAGGGTATTTTAATTGAAAATCATCTAAATGTTTCTTTAAATTCTTGAAAGCAACTAATATCCAGCTTTTTATGATGATATTTTACAGGTTTTAAAACATACTTGTCTTAGCCCATTTGTACTGCTATAACAAAATACCATAAGCTGGGAGCTTATATTCAATTCCCAGCATCAAAACAAAACCCCAAGCCCCAAACTGATTTCTCATAGTTCGGGAGGCTGTGAAGTTCAAGATCAAAGCACCAGCAGGTTTGATGTATAGGTAGAGGGACTGGCCCATTGAAGGTACCTTTTCATGTGTTGTCACATGGGGGAAGAGATGAGGGGGTGACTGGAGACTCTTTTGTAATGGCACCAGGGCTATTCATCAGGGCTGCCTTCATGATCTTAGGACTTCCCAAAGATGATTAGATTTCACCATATTAATTTGGGGGTGGGAGACACAAACAATCCAACAATGGCAACACTTAAAATGTTCTATGAATGAATGTGTAACATTTACTTTATACATCCTGGACATATTGCTTTTTCTGAGTCATTTGACTACATGATTTTTAGAGGATTAGGATAAGATATTGCAAATGTGACTTCAAGGGTAGTTTATTTCAAGTAGGTGTTTGAGAAACAATGAACTTAATTCTTGAACTGTGTGTACTTTTTTTTCTAGGGAGCTTCAAGTTAAATGAGCTACAGAATTCAGCAGGGAAAAATGAACTGGGTTATCCATGTCCCAAGGGTACAAAGAAATAGAACAGCCCTCTCTTACATACCTTCTCTGTGTGTGAAGTTAAGCATTATTTTACTTATGGTTTAAGTTAAAGGGACTTATTTACAAAATATATTTATATGACAGTTTGATATGCTTTATTTTTCTGCAGGACTCAATTACTGGAATTGTCAACTCTACCAATTTAAGGCACATTTCTCTTTCACTATGAGCAGACCAATTGTACTGAGCATTTTTCTGGCTTTCTGTAGCCTTCTTTTTCTCAACTTTGCCACACAATGTCTGGCCTTCCCCAAAATGGAAAGAAGGGAGTTGGTACATGTTCATGCAGAAGACTGGCAGCCTGAGAGGATGAACACAGATGACCTAGAAAACACCTCCATTACTCCAAAACAGACTCCTCAACTGGTGTTCTCTGAAGAAGATCAAATGGTAGTGTCAACAGGACCATCAGCAGTGCCAGTAAATGAAGTACTCTTATTTAACAAAGAAACCCATCTCACAGGAACTGGACTCCAGCAGCCTAACAGCCCTGGTCTTTCCACTGTCACTGAACCAGTGGTCCCAGCAGGTGACCAAGTGTTTGGTTCCAGCCAGCTGGAGAAAATGTCTCCTGAAAGCAGACTTTCCAAGATCATGTTAACTGTCCCTATCACTGAGACTGCTTCACTGAATACTGGCAAGAAGGAGGAACCCTTTAGCAGTACCAGCATTCAGCCCATTGCAGAAGGGACCACAGAAGCAACACCAGGTTTTGTGAAATATGTGAACCATCAACTGTTTACAACTGAAAATCAGGATGGAGTTAGTCTCGGGGATTTACCTTCATCCCTTAAGAATGCTAAAGAAATGCTAACCACCAATCCAAGAACAGAGAAATTTGAAGCAGACATGGATCAGAGAACCACTTCTTTTCCTGGTGCTGAGTCTGGAAGCCTTCTGCTGGATGGGGAGAAGCTCCTGCAGAAGACAGCTGATCATACCCAGGCTACTGCCACCGAGCACTTGCTGGTGACTTCTGAGTATGCCCTGAGTGTTGGTTCAGAAACGGATAGCCTTCTGGGAGCCCCAGAAGTCACAGAAAGTGTCAGCAGAGCTTTTCCAGCTGCCTCTATCTTAAGTGATGAGTGGGATGATACCAAGCTGGAGAGTGTAAGCCAGATACGGACCCCAATGCTGGAAGACAATACAGACACTCAGGTGAGAATGGAGCCCTTGCAGACAGAGAGCCATGAGGGGATGGAAGAGGGTCAGCCCTTGACAGAGGCTGCAGAAGTGTCTCCGGGGCTGCCTGAAGAGGAAACAGACATGGGGACAGCCCTGCTAATAGCGCAGGGGGAGAAGAAGTCACCCACCTTCATGGATCAAAGTTCCGTCACTCCCATAGGTCTGATGGAAGATTCCGAAGTTTTCTCTGTGCACATGTTCCAAAATATGGGAGGTTTCGAGGAATCCACCAAGGAAAACAGTGCCATGTTTTTGTCAGAGACTACTGTGTCCATCTCAGAATATGAGTCTGAGGCATATCAGCTGTTGGGAAATACATTGAAAGGTAAAAGAAAGAAAGAAAAAGAAACAAACAAACTTTGTTTAATTTGGAAATCTTTCAATTTGGTTTTATTTTTTTTTAATATTTATTTTTTTGTTGTAGTTGGACACAATACCTTTATTTTATTTTATTTTTTGTGGTGCTGAGGATAGAACCCAGGGCCTTGCATGTGCTAGGTGAGCATTCTACTGCTGAGCCACAACCCCAGCCCTGGTTTTATTTTTAATGGCAATTTAGAAATAGATTATTAAAGTTTTAATGAATAGCTAAAGTATTCAAATCAAACCAATGTGGTGGAGATTACACCAAACTATAACCCCTGCATTATAGATAGACCAGGGGTCTATAACTGGGGATAACTTTGCCCACCCCCCACCCCTACTTCCTGCCCAATGGGACATTTAGCAATGTTTGGAGACTTTTTTAGTTTTTGTAACTGAGGGTTGCTACTGGCGTTTAGTGGATAGAGGTCAAAGTTGTTGCAGAAACATCCTTTAGTACAGCACCCCCACCCTCAATAAGGAAGCATTCAAGGCAATATGTTCATAGCATTGAGATTGAGAAACCCTGATATAGATGGAAAGTTTCCTAACATTTTACAGTGAAATGTATAAATATACAAGAAAATGTGAAAATGTTAACTATATACTTAAATAGTGTAATAATGTAGATATTTATGTACTCATTGTTGTAAATGTATTTGCATCTCTGATATTTCTTACAAAAAATCTTTAGGTAAGTATTTATCTCATAGTTTTAACCTTATGAGTCCTCTGACTTTATTTACCCACAAATAAATCATCCAGAAATAAGTGGGGTGGGGGCACATTGATCATCTGCTGACTTGATTCCACATTACCTACTTTTTTTTGGCCTTTTCATCTGTGAATATGACAAGCTGACAAGCCTTATGTTTGTTTTTGATGGGCAATGTTTTTCTTTTATTATGTGTAATTAGTCAGATAATAGTGTTGGGAAGGAGAAGCTTAGCATCGAATGCATTTGCTATTTCAAATTATTTTTGAACATGTACAATGTTTTACTTGAGCCAAGTAGCTCAATTAGTGGAAAATATCAAATTTTTAATATGTTTTATAAAGTGTTATTGGGATTTAATTAAAATGATAGATCATTTGATAAGTGATAAAAGGAAGATTTAATTTTATTTTTCTAATTCATTTTTTTTTCAAGACTGAAAGAACTGGCATACTATAAGTTTTCATAGAAACTTCCAAAAAATGTCTTGTAATAGACTTTTTAGTGATGTTAAGAGAGTTGGGTTCACATAACCATGAAGATATTTGATATGACCGAACAAGAACATTAATTCTCTGTAACATGTATAAAATGTTTCTGGAGCATTAAGTCAGTCCCAGATTATACATTGTGCAACTAAATCCATGATTCTTATATACCAGCCTTGTATTATCTTCTGTAGATAGAGGCTAAAAAGTAAAATGGATTTGATAATTATCTGATTATTTTGGTTATTGAATATGTTCCTTGGTTATAACCACTTCACTTAACTACAACCTTTTAACAGGCAACTTTTTTTTATTCCCAGAGTAGAGCATTATACTTGGCCAATTGTAGGTGTTCAATAAGCATAAGTTCAATGGCTAGATAAATAGAGACCCATTCAGACTGGGATCATTAGATTTGATTGCTTATCTTGTCCAAATCAAACAGTTTTTCCGTGTTCTTTGAAGAGAGAGGAACAGTCAATTCCCTTAATTTTCTTGGTGTCTCAGAGTTAGAGAATATGAAAGTTGCTATTATGCACAGCAGTGGTTATAGAATAACGAATTTTTTTTTTTTCTGTTTTCTGAAGATTATAAGTGTTTTTTTTTTTTTTTTCTGAAGGAAATAATCCAAATGCCAATCACTTTAGGGCCCCAAAACCACTGAAGACATTATCTTTTTCAGGATATGCAGTGATTCCTTGGTGTTTTGGACATGATTAAGAGATGAGTACTTTGGGATTATAGTCAGTCCTCAGATTCAGCTGGTTCAACAGGAGATAAGGTTTAAAAAATATTCTATAGTGAGTATTATATTCTTTTTTTTTTTTTTCTCTACAGTAAGTAGCAAGAGTGGGAGATGTTGAGAAATTCCTATTACTGTTGAAAGTTCCATTCCTATTTCTGGTTCTCTTCTTCAGCAGTTGTTGCTTGTTAAGATGCTATGCATTTTGACATTCTTGTTCTTCCATAAAACTATGGACATAGAGCCAGGCATGGTGCTACAGTGCCTGTAATCCTAGTGGCTTGGGAGGCTAAGGCTGGAGGATCATGAGTTCAAAGCCAGCCTCTGCACCTTATCGAGGCCTTAAGCAACTTAGTGAGACCCTATCTCAAAATAAAATATATGAAAACATGGGCTGGAGATGTGGCTCAGTGGTTGAGTGCCCCTGGGTGCAATCCCTAGTACCCAAATCAAAAACAATAAAACAAAACAAAATGAAAACAACTATGAACATAGGCTTTAGATGTATTTTGTACATGTTCTCCAAAATGTTCATTATGTGTTCAAAATTGAGGACTATGGGGAGAACACATGCTACCTAAATTGACAAAACTATATTATTGTTTTTCTTGTGGCAAACAGAGCATTGTCCTAGGTGCTGGAGATACCAAAGGGCAATGACTCCTGGCTGTCAGGAGATGCACAGTCTTAGTGGAACAAGAGAGAAGAAGGAAAAATCTTAAACAATGGTATAAAGAGCAGATTCAAAACTCAAATAAGAGCTAACTCAATTCCTTTATTCCATAATCAGTTCTATCAAGAGTAAAAATATCTAGAATTAAAAAGAAAAAATAGTCCAAATTGGATGGTACCAAGGAAAGGAAGGACTTTTACCGAAAAGCATACACTGTTTTAAAGCAAATAAATTGTTTATTTATTTTTTTTTAATTAAGGTAATGAGATATAGCATGATGTCATTAATGAAAACTTTTTTTGGCTACACCTATAATGTTGTTTTTTCATGTACAACTTATTGAACTTGTTAATATGATATTTATTTAGAACAAGTATTTTAAGAAAGAGACAATAAGAAATTAAGACAATTAGAAATTAAGTAGATGCTAAGTAGTTGAAATCTCCAGCATAGACCCTCCCTAAGAAGATGGCAAGTCTTTGTCCTTATAGATAGTCTTTAATTATGTATTTAAGGAAAATGCAACATTGTAAAGAAGGTGGACCTGTGACAGATAATGGCTCATTCTATATCTCTGTTTCATTCCCTTTTTGAATCTAAAAGCAAATACAAATATTCTGCAGTGGCCACTCCATTTCATTCCTTGGGCATAATTCACACAGTGGTTAAGAGGGCTGGCTGTGTAACCGCAGGTAGCTTCCTTAGCTTTTTCAAACTTAAGTTGTTCTGTAAATTGGGGCAATTTAGATGGTATTTATTGAATAAATACATTTTTTATTGCTTGTTAAGATGCTATGCATTTTGACATTCTTGTGTTTTACAAAGATTAAATCTAATTTAATCTTTGTAACAACTCTATGAGATAGATACTATTGTTATTCTCACTTTACAGTTGAGTAAACTCAAGGTCGAGATGTTAAGTATGTGATTAGGATCACAGCTAGTAAGTGACTGAGTGAGAATTCAGACCTAGGTAAACTGACTAGCCCGTGTTTTGACCTATGTTATTACAGCTTCCAGGGAATAGTGTTATATCCACCCCCCCTTAGTACATATGGGAGGAAAACATAAGACAATGCACCCCTCTCACTTATTACTGTGTGTGTGGCTCATAATAGAAACTCAGTAAACATGAGTTATTGTAATATTATTCCTTTATTTTAAAAGGCTGACTTCCCTTTCCCTTTCCCTTTCAGAAATGCAAATGTGAAAATTAATATACACAAATGCTTCTGAGAATTTTTTAGTGTAACTTAGTTCTGTATAATTTGTTTCTTAAAAAAACAATTATGTTAATATTCCAGTGTGGCTGGGAGGGAGCACAGCTGTTGATTTTCCTGCTTTGTTTTGGATTTTATTATAGTTTTTCACATTAATTTCTCTATCTCTTCTTTAATTGATTCACAATTCCTGAAAGCAGCAGCAGTGACAACATTCATTCATTGGTCTTTTATTTCTGAGTTCTCCTTTGTTTTTCCAAATTATGAAATAGCTATCTGTCTCCCTGCCCCCTAATTTATTAATTACATAGTGAGCTTAAGGTATGGGAATTTAGCCTATTTTAAAATATTTCTCCCCTTTTAAGACATCATCACTCAAGAGATGACAACAGCTACTCAAGAACCAGAAGCCACTTTATCCCTGGTGACACAAGAGCAGGTGACCAGAGACAGTGAAGAGACTGAGGAAGGCAAGGAGTCCCCCCTTCTTGCCTCTGATGTACCTGATGTTACTCAGCTGTCCAGACAATGGGAGCCTCTGGCCACTACAGTGTCAACCACAGCCATTCCTTGGTCTCCCAAAGTTACCCCTGCTGCAGAAGGTAAGTGAAAAGGAACAGAATGTGGCAGCTGACTCCATCATCAGCATATATGCATACATCCCACCTGGAAAGGTGGGTGAACTTTTTTATTTGCAGAGATATGGCACCACCTAGAATACAGAGGGTTCATTTCCAAGTAAAATCTCCTGGTGGCTTACCTCTGGGTCCCTGGAAGGCTGGATCTCTTGACAACTGTCTCCTTCTTCTGCAAGGCTGCTGTTAGGAGCCAGGGTGGGGAAGGTGAAAACAGCAAGGACCTGTGTGCGACTGTCACTAGCATTTGTGGACTCAAGCCAGTTTCTTAACTTCTGTAAGAATTGTTTTGTTCATTTCTCAATAGTGCCTACTTATAGGTTATTTGGTAGATTTGAAATAATGTGTACAAAGTGCTTTCTGTATAGCTCCCAAATGCTCTCTCTCTCTCTCTCTCTCTCTCTCTCTCTTTTTTAATATTTATTTTTTAGTTGTAGGTGGACATAGTACCTTTATTTATTTATTTTTATGTGGTGCTGAGGACTGAACCCAGGGCCTTACAGGTGCTAGGTGAGCGCTCTACTGCTGAGCTACACAACCCCAGCCCCTGCTCTCATCTCTTAAGGGCAATGAAGTTTTCAAATCTAGCTGATTATCAGAATCATTTGGAAATTTTAACAGTTATTTTATTTATTTATTTATTTTTATGGTGCTGAGGATTGAACTCAGGGCCTTATGCATGCAAGGCAAGCATTCTTTCAACTCAGCTATGTCCCTAGCCCAATGATTATTATTTTAAAATTGTCATTTATGGATCTCTGTCTCATTATTGGTCCAAGTAAGGCTTACTTTTAAGTATTTATTGCACTATTTTTAACAATGTAATAAATAATTTTAATCCTACTTCCTACTCGTCCACCACCTGCAAGCAAATAAAACAAAACGAAAAAACTAAGGCTTTGACAATAATCTACATGGAACCCCGTGACTCTTTGCATCTCAACTTGTTCTTCTCCTGGCTGGTAACTGTCTTCCTGAATCTTGTTTTCATAATTGCCCCCACTCTCTCCCCTCACCCCCAATTTTATTGCATCTATATTTACTTCTATAAGTAAACATTTAAACATCTTAGAAATTGTTTATTTATTTATTTTTGGTACTGGGGATTAAACCCTGAGGCACTTTACCATTAAGCTACATCCCCAGCATTTTTTTTTTTTTTTTTTTGTGGTGCTGGGGATTGAACCCAGCCATTTTTATTTTCCATTTGGAGGCAAAGTCTTGCTAAATTGCTGAGGCTGGCCCTGAACTTGTGATCCTCTTGCCACAGCTTCCTGAGTTGTTGGGATTACAGGTGTGCACCACCACATCCAGCAAAATTTTTAGAAAAAAAGTTGATTTTAAGTTTATAAGAGAAAATTGTTGTACAGATGAACTTTTGGGGCTCACAGTTTTTACTTAATATTCTGTGACTAATATCTTCTTCTTGCAGTTCTTTTCTTCAAGGATGGATAACATCCCACCATGAAAATCTATCAGTTTATTCATCCAATCGTGTATCTTAATACATTTCTGTTAAATTTTCTGCCTTTGTTAATAGATTGTGCACAATCCTGCAATAGAATAGATGAAAGATTTAAAATTTAAAAACGAAGTTTTGATTTGAGGCAATGTATTATCCTGGATGATAAAGTGTTTGCTGTGGACAGTAGGATTTATAGGAAGTGGTAGGGGGAGCTGGTCTAAATACTGAACTTACTATGTGTGAGATATTGGTTTTGTTAATCATTTCTTGCCTAAAAGGTGAAAGCACATGTTTACATTTTCCAAAATGCATGATGATCATCTTGTGGGTCATGTCCTATCTCTTGTGTTTGGCAGACCTAACAGACACAGTCACTGGGCCGAGTGAGGATCTGGCACTAGTTTTGGGCTCTCTGGTGACACCCCCTGGAATAATGGTGGAAGCACCCAGCATTTCTCCAACCTTTCCTGCTTTGGAGGCATCATCTGAGAGAACAGTTCCATCCGTTAGTGGCACTAATACAGCTGCCTCATATGGCCTGGACCAACTTGAATCTGAAGGTATCCCTGTTTTGAATGGAATCTTTCTCAGGGTGGATTGAGTGAGCATCTGAGGAAATGTTTTTGAGAAAAGATTAAGTAGAAGTGTATTCAGTCTGCAGGGCAGATCAGGAGTTGGTAGACTCTGGCTTAGCCAAATCTGGCCTGTTATCTGCTTTTGTATGGTCTGTAAGCAAAGAATGGTTTAAAAAATATTTAAATGATTGAAAAAAATATCAAAATAAGAAGAATATTTTGTGACATGTAAAAGTTATATAAAATTCAAATTTTGACATTCATAAATAAGTAAGGCTGTATTAGAACACAGTCAGGCTCATTTATTTATGTGTTGTCTATGGCTACTTTGTATCATGGCAGCAGAATTAAGAAGTTGTTATAGAGACTAAATGGCCCAGAAAGCCCAAAACATTTACAATGTAGCTCTTTGCAGAACAAGTTTACAATCTCAGGTATACATCAGTGATTTACAACTGCTGTTGAACATTAGAATTACCTTGGAGGCTTTTCATAAATGTCAATGCTTGAGTCTCTCTCACAGTGATTCAGGTTAAATTGGCATAGGGTAGGATCTGGCATCAACATTTAAAAAGAGTACCTGAGAAGAATCCAATTTTTAGGCTGGATTAAGAATACTTGGTTTAAATGGAGAAGATGAATTTCCTCACTAAATGTCCTTGGATGGAAATTTTATTGTCTATTTTTTTTTAAAGATCATGTGTTATTTATTTATGGATGGACCCTTTATTTATTTATTTATATGTGGTGCTGAGAATTGGACCCAGTGCCTCACACATGCCAGGCAAGTGCTCTACCACTGAGCCACAACCCCAGCCTCTGTCTGTTGTTTTTTTAACAACATTGTTCTGTTGATGCTGGGTTATGCCCTCATAGGTAAGTATATTCTTGTATTAGTCAGCTTTCTATCTTTGTGATAATATTCCCAAGAAAATCCACTTAGAGAAATAAATGTTTATGGCTCATGGTTTTAGAGATTTCAGTCTGAGGTCTCTTGGCCAAATTGCTATGGGCCTGTGATGAGGGAGAACATCATGGCGGGGAGCACATGACAGAGCAGAGCTGCTTATCTCTTGTTAGTTGTGAAGCAGAAAGAGAAAAAGACAGGGAGGGGAGGGACACGATACACCCTTCAAGGACATGCCACAGTGACCTATTCTTCCAACTAGACCCCACCTCCTAAAGTTTCCAACACCTCCCAATAGCCCCAGCAGTTGGGGACTAGACTTTTAATTCATGAACTTTTTTTTTTCTTTTTTGTCTCTGGGAATTTAAACCAGGAATGCTTCTACCACTGAGCTACATCCTTGGCTGTTTTTATTTTTGATTTTGAGACAGATCTCACTGAGTTGTCTAGGCTGGCCTCAAACTTGCAATCCTCTTGCCTCAGCTTTCTGAGACACTGGGGATATAGGCATAAGCCACCACGCCCAGCAGTACATGAGACACTGGGGGACATTCCAGACCTATACTACAACAATTCTACTATTTCTCCAATAGGCAGGCTATTGATGTACTAAGACTGAGAACTTCATGCCAAATTATACTTTCCAAGACTTTGGCTTTGAGCATGAAAAAGATAGTTGGAACACAGCACATCAACCACACAAGATTAGAAATATAAACCATAGTGATGTAATTACTGTAATCAGCATTTTGATAGGTGAACAATACCTGGCTGGAGTTGTAAAATGCCCAGAGAACTGTCATATAGGTAAACTAGTTAGGTAAACTCTAGGGCACTAAATTAACCACATGTTTGATGTAGTAATGACACATATGTATGTGTTATCTACTGTGGGAAAGGTGGCTTAGCTAGGTTTGCAGGAGACTTTGTTGCAGATTTTCAGGGTAATACTGGTAATGTGCTCACAGAGAAATATGACATTTTAAGAAAAGTGTGGAGAATTCCACTGTAGAATACTCAGTTAAGAAATGGACCAAAACGGGCTCAGAGGCTAATGCCTCTTGCACTCCACATGAAGATAAATACCATCTGACTTTGATTTTAGTGTGTCATATATCTGTCTGCTCTCCTTGATGCCATCTGGAAAAAGCAGGTTTCCTCAAATTAACCTGAGTTAAAGATGACAGCTCTAGTTGGCAGAGCTCATTAAATCACAGGGAAAAATTATATTTGTGAATAATCTATACTTGTGAAACTGCAGTGATTTTCTAAATTTAGTAGATGATGGCAGTTGTATTGAAATATGTTAGAATTTTCCTGATGTGCCTAAGATGTCCTGGGGCTTTAGTTCTTTTCTTCTACACACAGTTCCATTTCAACTTCTTTTTGAGAACATATTTTGTCAGTTTTTGATCTAAATTATGATCCTTGTCAAGGCTTCTGAAAGACATTTTTGGTTAAAAGGTATTCTTCCTGCTACATTGTGGGGCTTAACGTTTGGAAAGAGCACATAATTTTCTCTAAATGGTGTACAGGGTGTGCAATTTATGTTTAATTAGTCTGTATTAATGTTATCACAATTAATTTATGCTGGTGAATCTAATGCTTGGAAAGCTGAAGAGAGTGCACTTATTTAAACAGATAACCCTACTGTACACTGGTATTTTTTTCACTTAGTCCAGGGTTATAAATACAGTTTGAGGTGTTGACTGCTTGAAACATTTATTTTTTGCTGTACTTGGAATTAAACCCAGGACCTCATGCAAGCTAGGCAAGCAGTGTATCACTGAGCCACATCCTCAGCCCCAAGGGGCTTAAGCATTTTAATCTACTGTAGGATTATATCCAGAGGAAGAGAGTTTATTTTTATCCAGAACAAAATATTACTTATGTCAAGTTATCTTTAGTTGCCTTTCAAGTTTTAATCTCTGTGATGTGTTGACAAAGGACATAGAAGTCTTTCATTTAAGATGTGTGTTTTATTATGTCATTAATCTCTTTATATGTTATCTTAATGTCTTCCTTCCCACTAGGGGCCAGGAACATTTTTTCAGCGAATGAAGTATTTTTTCTCAATGGGATATGGAAGGGGACATGCCCTTGTTAGATACCAGACACCCATGGACAGAGAACCTTTGTGGAAATTTCTGAATCCACTGTCCTGTTCATCCTCTAGATAAAATTAACAGTCCAAATCAGTCTAAAAATTATAACTACTTGCTGCCCTGTCTTCTTTCCATCTCTCCAACATGATGACTGAAAGTGTAGACTAATTTCCCAGGGTTGCCATAACAAAGTGCACAAACAGGATGGTTTAAAATAAAAGAAATTGCCGGGCGTGTTAGTGCTCACCTGTAATCCCAGCAGCTTGGGAGGCTGAGGCAGGAGGATTGAGAGTTTCAAAGACAGTCTCAGCAATGGCAAGGCGTTAAGCAACTCAGTGAGACCCTGTCTCTAAATAAAATTAAAAATAGGGCTGGGGATGTGGATCAGTGGTTGAGTGTCCCCGAGTTCAATCCCTATTAATGTGCCCCCCTGCAATAAAAAAAAATTAAAAAATTACAGAAATTTATTCTTGGGCAGGTCTGAAGACTGGATACTCCTGAATCTAGGGATAGGCAGGGCTATGCTCCCTCCAAAACCTCTAGGGTTGGATATGCCCTTGTCTCTTCTAGCTTCTGGCAGCTCCAGATGTTCCATATCCTGTGTCAGCATAACCCTGTCTGTTTCCACAGCCATCTTCTCTCTGGGTCTGTGTTCCAGTTTCCCTAGTTTTTCTAAGAACATCAGTCATTGGATTACTGTCCACCCTAATGACCTTATCTTAACTTGATTACATCTGCCAAGACCCTGTTTTCAAATAAGGTCAGTTCACAGCTATTACTGGTCAGGACTTGAGCACATCTTTTTTGGGGGTGCAATTCAACACATAACAGGGTTCCAAAGAGTTTGCCAGCTGTTTTTGAAGGTAGATGTGCTCTGCCTTTGGAACACCCACCTGAGTGCTGTGAATTGGTAGAGTGGGAGAGGTTTGGGTGTGTTTTACATTTATTAGTCACTGAAGACAGCCTCTGTAAGTGTGTGTCACCTTGTGCATATTTCATCACATTTTTTACCTTGTCAGCAAAAATGTAGCTTGATTTTTGAAGGGATAATGGTTTATTTTTCACCTTGCCTGAAACATTTTACTTCATTGTATGAATAAATATTTTCAAGACAATGGAAAATGCATTCTACTAGGTCTGTATTAATCATTTTTGAAATACAAACATGTCATCAGTGCTGTATTTTTTTTATTCAAAATGGGGTAATGACAAATTTTATACATGTATTTATTTATTTGTTTATAAATGAATACTCTAACTTTTAGGCATAATCTCTCTATAAGTTGATTTCCTTCTCTTGTTGAATTTCCTTCTCTTGTCATTCTCTGGACAAAATGCCAATTTAAAATTTCAGATTACTTTTCTTTTGGGTACCAGGGATTGAACTCAGGGGCACTGGACCACTGAGCCACATCTCCAGCCCTATTTTGTATTTTTATGTAGAGACAGTCTCACTGAGTTGCTTAGTGCTTCGCTTTTGCTAAGACTGGCTTTGAACTTGCCATCCTACTGCCTTAGCCTCCCGAGCTGCTGGGATTACAGGCGGGCACCAGTGCACCAGGCATTAGATTACTTTTGAAACATAGTTGGAACACACTTTCTTCTTTTTTTTTGTTAACTGTCTATAAAGTATTTTAATACTAATATCAAGTGGAATAGGGCTTAACAATATCTCTTGTTTAAAGAAGTTTCACTTTCTGTGTATTAGAAATCCAACAGAGGTTATCTATTTGTTCTGTTTATTTTTTTGTATACTCCCATGGAAGATGGAAATTAATCTGTGCTATAAAATTTTAACAATAATCCTATAGGAAAAAGGATATCAGGGTTCAGGGATTTGGTTAGTGGCAGAATGCTTGCCTAGCATGCATAGATCCCTGGGTTTGAATCTCAGCACAGCAAAAAGCAAAGCAAAATAGAACAAAATAGTCCCCAAAACTCCAAACCAAAAAACTCAAACAATTCAATATTCA